ACTGACAAAGCCAGACCAAAGGATGTGGCTGAGGTGCAAACGCTCTGCGCAGGCCTGACACCGTGAAAAACCACACGCGGCAGAGAGCAACACACCCTGCTCCGCGGGGGTCCGGCCCCCAGATGAGCCTTCCCAGAAAGTGCGGGGGAGGGGTGCTGGGTCACAAGCCTCCCCCCTGCCCTGGGGCCTCGGGGGACTGGAGCCACTGAGTGAGCTCTTGCAGCTCGCCACACACACGGAACACAATAGGAAAGCCCTGTCCCCCATGAAAATGTGAGAAGAGGAAGGAAGTGACTCCCTCAGCGCCTTTCCCACGGGGCTGCCATGCAGAGCAGAGAGCAAACAGGGGCAGCGTCTGGGGCCTCTACAGCGCACACTCTGCAGAGGTCTTGGGGCAGGATAGTGAGAAGCACGCGGAAAAGGGAAACTGAGGCAGACAGGGGAACACGGTGGCCCCGCGTGCAGTCAGTCACCAGGGGCAGGGGTGGCACCCGGCAGGGGCATGACTGGGAAAAGAAGGGCCTCACCGCCAGGGAACCTCTCCTGCCCCGGCCTTTCCGCCCCCAAGACAACACCCAGGCCTCGGCTGTGTTGCCGCTCCCTGCCCTGAAAAGCAGCAAAACCAGGTGGGCAGCTCCAGGACCCGCTGCGATGACGAAGGACCCCTGCCCAGTGGCGGATCGGTCCGTGGAGACCCGGGCCCGGCAGGGCGCACCTGGAGTACTGGTGGGCGTTCCACTGAAACCCTCCCCCACACCTGCCCTGCGCTCCCGCTCCCGCTCCCACGGGCAAGAGACAGATGAAAGCCTCGAGTCAAAGGGCCCAGGGACGTGCGCGCTCCCTTCCGGGGAGCAGCCTGAGCCATTTCCCGTTTTCCTTTTCTTTCTCCTCCCCCCACCTCTTTCTTCACAGGCAGGGTCTCCTAAGCTCTAAGGCAAAGGGCAGGGCTGCTGGTCCCAGGCCAGCCCGTCCCTAAGGTCCCTTTTCTCTGACTTCTCGGCAGGCGAAGGCAGCCTGGCCTAGGCTCTCCTGTGGCTCTGCCTCTGCTCAGTCTTTTCTCACGGCTCATGGCAGGCCAGTCGTGTGTGTATGTGTGTGTCTCTCTCTCTCTCCCCGCCCCCCCGCCCCCCCCCCCGCCCCCATGGGCAAATGAAACTCTTCCTCGTGCACTTTCATCTCCCTGATCTATAATTCCCTACCGCGTCGGGGAAAGAGCCAGTGCTTCCAATAGCAGACTCATCCCCGGGCTTGGCTGCCCTGGGCTGCAAGGCTACGCCACTGAGGGAAGCTGTGGTTGAGAAACTGCATGAAGCAAGGGAGTTTCTTAAAAGGGGATTTCTCTATTTCCCCTTCTTTCCTTGTTCCCTATACTCAGGAAATCTTGAGAGTTTCCTAAAGGGAAACGCTGATCAGATATGAACTGGCAAGTCTTCTAAGCAGAGGGGGAAAAAAAACCCCCAGAGCTGTAGCTCTATGAATACAGTACCCGGTCCCGCTTTCTTTTTGGATGTGCGTAGGCACTATTCTGTTGTTTTAGGGTGGGGTTGGGGGGGCACTTTGTGTGCTTTTCAAGGCAGCCTCTCCTCACCCCTTATAATTAAGCAATTAAGAATCCCTGGGCAGGGAAGTCACCGGAAGCAAACAGGAACCGCCCTGGGGAAAGCCCTGTCCAATCACGCAACAATAGCAACTCCATTTAAGGTGAGTGCAACGGGAAGACAGGAAATAACACGCGGCATGGACTCCAGTTCTGGGTGCCATCTATCAGTGAGGCCACACTCCCCCAGAACTGTCTCCGTCCATCTCACGTCACCTACCTGGTGGGGGAAGGCTGCCGGTCGTGTGGACACCAAGGGAAAAGCCCAGGGGAGCAGGAAGTTTTTGGTCCTCAAGGCCAGTGGCTCTCTCCCCTGTGCTGAGTCATCTCTCAGTGGGGCACCGGGGGATCACACCTGCCTGAATTTCTGAGGCCTATGGAAAACCCCAGCAGCCAGGATCCCGGAGACGGTTGACCTTGGGTAATCCCTCTCACTAGTCCCCCGTGGCATTTCCAGCTGCAACGCTTTTCGATCCCCTCTTTCTCCTCGTGGGGGAATCTACACACACGGAGGGCCCCCCATTTCAGCGCAGCTGCGTAATCCACACAAAGCTTTTCCATGATAATGCAGTCTTAAGTACAGTGCCAATTTAGCAATAATAATAGCTAATATTTAGTAATCACTCACTGTGTCCAGGCATTGTTGACTGAGCATAAGTCAATTAGGAGTCTTCAGCTAGAAACGTGATCAAGATTTGTTCAAGGAGGGCCCTGGCTGGTGTGGCTCAGTGGACCGAGTGCCATCCTGTGCCCTGAAAGGTCGCTGGTTCGATTCCCAGTCAGCACACAGGCCTGGGTTGCAGTCCAGGTCCCCAGCAAGGCAACAGATACCTCTTGCATACTGATGTTTCTCTCCCTCTCTTTCTACCTCCCTTGTCCTCTCTCTAAAAAGAAATAAATAAAATATTTAAGAAAAAAAAAAGATTTGTTCAAGGGTCTTATAGTTTGCAAACTGGAAACACAACTAGGCAATACCCAGAGTGTTCTGAAGAAGAGGGAAAAGCTGAGGGTTCTTACAATAAAAAGTACATTCTTGAGAAAAACCAGTCCTGCACTTCAGCTTCTGGGTCGGTCTGAGGTGGTAATCCTCTAGCTGATCGGTGGTCTAAACATTCATGAACACTTCTCCAAGTCCTTCCGGGGTAATCAGAGGATTATCTGGAGGTCTGATCCATATCCAGGCATTGACATAGGACCAGAAGGTTCAGACTTTTAAGTTTCAGAGCTAGTTAAAACAAAGAATAGAATTGTTTCCTCAACCTACTTGATTTTTGTAATTTAACTGCTTGACTATAGTGACTCTACTTTATTTCTTCATTCTGTTACTCAGTGCTATATTATTTTTCACAACAATAGGAAGTATTTTTTGTTAATCACATTATATAGATAAGAAATTAAGATACAGAGAACTGAAGTAAATTCCCATGGTCCCTACCTGTCTACTACATCTACAACATTTAGCCCAGAGAAAGGAAACCAATGCTTTATCTTCCACAATCTGTTTTCATAGACTCAAAGAATGTTAAGATCCTGGAAAGACTTTAGAGATAACAGAGTACACTCTTGATTTTACGGATAGGAAAACAGACCTGGAGAGGGGTTAGGGTGTATTTGCCCTGGTCCCACGTTAAAATCATGGATGAGTCCCTAGTCTCACTTTTTGTACCTCTCCTATAGCGCACCCCCCACCTTCCCTCCCAGAAGAGATAGCTTTCCTGAATTTTTCCTAAGCATTTGTTTGTTTTTCAGTTCTCCATACTGATCATTCCCATTTTTTCCCTTCTGTTAACATTTTTAGTGAAAAAAGAGGAAAGGGAAAGGAAAGAAGAAAGAGAGAAAGCATGTCCTGGCTGGTGTGGTTCAGTGGATTGAATGCCAGCTTGTGAACTGAAAGGCTGCTGGTTCGATTCCCAGTCAGGACACATGCCTGGGTTGCAGGGCTAAGGTCATGTGAAATGTTTCTTTCTCATATTGATGTTTCTCTCCCTCTCTTTCTCCCTCCCCCTCCCCTCTCTCTAAATAAAAAAATAATAATAATCTTTAAAGAAAGAGAGAAAGAGGAGATAGGCAGGGTGAGAGAGAGGAAGAGAGAAAGGAGACAGAGAGGCTGGGATGGAGGGAACTGTTAATGGTGATGTGTTAGACCTCAGTCCTTGAGTTTGGCTAAGAGAAAATTCAGAGCCAAGAAGTCTAGTACAAGGAGTTTATTTAGAAAGTCACAGAGGTGAAAAAGTGAGCCAGGTGGGCTGCGTGGGCTCAGGAAACAAGTTACAGAGGCAAAAAGAGGGCTCTTGCAGCCTAGGAGAAAGAAAGCAAAGGATAGGCACGAAAAGGAGGGGATGGGGGGGTAGAGGTGGGGGCATGAGAGACAGAGAGAGAGAACCATGTCCCTTGTCTTAAGGGTTTTTAACCTGCACGTTAAAGGCGGGGATTTTAGGGGAGAATCTCCATAGAATACGCATCAGCTCTCCAGGAGCGCACTCCCAGGGTCCTGGTCTCCACTGATTGGTCGGCGCCAGGGCAGGGTTATTAGTCATCGCAGCTGGAACTGACGTCAGCGACAGCGTCGTTTTGTCTGGTTTTGCAGCTTTTCTGCGCCTGAAGCTGAAACACAGCGGAGACCTAGATGTTATCTCTGGTGCCATTATCTCTGGTGCCACCAGAACTCCGTCTCTGTGGTCAGCAAATGGGAAGCTTTGTTCCTAAGATTGTATGATGATCAGAAGCTACTGTCCTGAAGGCTTAGGGCTGAAAGGGAGGGGCCCTGCAAGGGCTCGCACGGGAGTCCTGTGTGGCTGTTTGGCGACCCCGTGTCCCTCTGCGGAGGGGGTCTAAGCCGCATGGCTAGCGACCTGCTACGGGAGGAAAAGTCACCCTGCGGGTAAGGTCCTAGCCTCTCACACTTGTTTTCCCAGTTTTGCCCATTGCTAGACACCAGGGACTTTCCGCCCTGGTGACATTCCGTTCCTGGCCAGTCATTCCTGCTCTGCTCACGCCTGCCTGCCTCCTCTGTCAGAACCATCCGCCTATCAATGAATGAGAAGCTGGATAACTCAGCCCCAGATAGCTCAGCCCGGGAGCCCTAGTGGCGATTTCAAGACGCCAGAAGACAAGCCAAATCCCTTGGGTGACATTGGGTCGGTCGCACCTCCTGCTCGAAGCCCCAGCTTCCCATCCGAAACACCACTAATTCGTCAGCCAACAGGCCACCCGGAAGCGCTGTGTCTCCCCAGAGAAGGCCGCCCAAGCCCCTCTCCACAGCCGACGCTTTGCCCTCAACAAACATGGCAGCGGCGCGTGACGTCACCTTCCGTCGCCTCCGCCCCCTCCCCGCCCCGGGTGAATGATGAGGCCCAATGACGGCAGCGGGCGGGACGCATGCGCGGCGGCGGGGCCCGGCCCGCGGCGACGGCGACGAAGGGGCGGAGGGGTTCCCTGCCCGCAGTTGCCGAGCCGCGGCGGCCGAGGCGGGATGGTGTAGCCGGGCCTGCGGGCGGGGGCGAGGCGGACGCCTCCTGACGGGCTCGGGGCCAGCGGCCGCACGCTGAGGGGGCGTCGCCGCCGCCGGCCCCCGGCGCCGCCGCGGGAGGCCGCGCCCGCCATGGCGGCCCGGCTGGTGCTGGATGAGTTCACGGCGCCCGCCGAGAAGGCGGCGCTGCTGGTGCAGAGCCGCGGCCGCATCGAGGGCCTGTTCGGCGTGAGCCTGGCAGTGCTGGGCGCGCTTGGGACCGAGGAGCCGCTGCCCGCGCGCATCTGGCTGCAGCTCCGCGGGGCGCAGGAGGCGGTGCACAGCGCCAAGGTGAGTCCGGCCGCCGCCCCCGCGCGCCCGGCCCCCCCGGCCCGCGGCCTCCGCACCGGCGGGGTCCCGGGGCTCCTCCACCCGTTCCCGTCCCGCCCCGCCCCGCCCCGCGCGCGCGGTGGGAAAGCGCAGCCCCCAGAGCCCGCGGACCTGCGTGCGCCGCTCAAGCCACGTGACCTTGGGTTAGCGGTTTAATCCCGGGGCGCCTCAGTTTCCCCGTTTGTAAAGGGGCGCTGGCGCAAGCGCGCATCCGGCGTAGAGCGCCGCGAACATCGCCTGTCGTTATCGTCCCCTCGCCCTGGCGGTGGTGCGCAGGGCTGGTGGCTGGGCCCAGGCCTCCGCTCCAGGGGTGCCGAGCCTTTGTGGGGGATTCAGTCCCTTTGAGAATCCAACTCCAGGACTGTCCAGAAGCGATGGGATGTTTAATAATAGTGTTCAAAAGAGCGTCATTTCTTGTGTTTATATTATGTGCAGTTCACATCCAGTTCGTAGTTGTAGCGTATCAGACGTTGCGCTCAATACTTAAGGAGGAGCTAATGCAGACCTTCAGAATGTAGTGGGGGTAGATTTTGTTCTCTCCTCTTTCTCTCTTTACATTCACAGCTGGGGAAACTGAAAGTTTTGAAGAGGTGACTCACCTCTCTAGATCAGCGTTTTAGCCTTACACATCCTGGAAACCTTCAACTACGCCCTCCCCCTCCCCCCCACAAACCAGAAAACAGCAAGAATCACCCCTCCTACCCCCACTCCCAGGTATGCACTTTTCTCTAGGTTTTCCAAGAGGGCAGGTGCAGCGGCCAGGTGTTTGCAGAGCTCTAGCTCCCCAAGGATGAGCCCTGGGTGGGTGGGTGGGGGGCGGGGGTCTTCCTTGGGTGGCGTCTTGCTTCAGGAATGTCGCGCTGCCCTGGGGGACTCTGCTGTAGCTGCTGGCTGGAGGCTCGCTTCCAGCGCGTGCTCGGGAGATAGGACACTTAACGGAGCGGCTCTTCCCCACACCGTTTTCACTTACACACTGTGCAGGTGTTGAGTCAGGTCCGCTTTCTTGTCCTTAATATTCTAAACCGTGTGTCTGAGTTCAGGCAGCTGCGCTGACTTCTTTCCCATCCTCGGGGCTGACGTGTTGGCCTGGCGGCGTCCGATCGCTCCTCGCGTTCTGCCCTGCATTCGCTGCTCCCCTTCCCACCACCTGTGTTGCGAGCACGGCCCACGTTCTGGGTGTGCGCCCCTCCCTTTGCTCCTCCCCTCCCTCCCTCTCGCGGCACCGCTTGGCACCACTTGCAGGACCCACTTGCGTTAAACTAATCCTCTAAAAGTCACTGCCCTGCCCTGGGGTTTCCTGTCGTCTGTTTCACTCTGTGTGCCTCTGGTTTGCAAAACCTGCTGACCTACCGCAGCCTATTTTCCCAGTCCTCTGCCCCAGCTCCTCACAGGAGCCCTACTGCCTCGCTCAGTCTGTGTGCGTCGCCTGCTCTCAGGTCACCCTCACTTGGGACTCACCCTGCACAAGTGCTTCTTTTGCTGCACAGAAGACAGTGCAGCCTGTCTCGCCAGACCCTCCCCATCCTCCTGCCCTGCTTTGCCCTGCCCCATGGTGAGCACCAGCTGATTGGAAAAGGTGTGCCTTGCAGTGCCTTGGAAGCAGGTGTCCCCTGCCCAGCTCTCTCTGCGTCGTGTGTCACTCATAACCCAGCCCTCCCACTTGTGAGAAATTCCTTTTTTCCCCTTTGAAATTCATGGGTAAGAGTTGAATACCACACTCAAGGACTTTTTGTTTTTGTCATTTTGTCTTGGAGTGTGTTTTACATTCTTTTGAAGAGAACACCATTGACTTCCCTCTTACAATTAAGAACAAGAAAGCAAAATTCAGCAGGTACAACACATTGAGTTACACTGTGAAGGAGAAGGTTTGGAGGAAGGAAGAGTTAGAGGAAAGACTTTGTTAAACCAGCCGGTTGAGTGAGGGCAGCTGTTCTGGGTCCCCTCAAGTGGCTGAATCTGTTCTCTTGCTCATAGAATGTGAGCGCGCCACCTTTTACCAACGGCTGGAGGAGCGAGTGGAGCCGACGTGCGGGCTGCGTGGCCTGGGGGGGAGGGAGCAATGCTGTTCGGGGAGGTGGCAGAGGCCCCGGCGCTCTGAGTGGCCACTGTGGTCAGAGGGGACATTTGTTGGAGGAAGCAGCACTTGAGCTGGTCGCTGAGGAGCCTGGAAGGTTCCCAGGTGCAGGTCCAGAAGCCGAAAAGCCCGTGGCAGAGTCTGGACGGGGTCGGCAGGGCCGGGGCCGTGCCCAGCGGGGGCTGCGAGGGTTCTGCTGAGCTCAGAGCTTGTCCGACGGTTCCAGCCACAGGTGGGCGTTGTTCTAGTTTAGAGCTCCCCGGGCGTGGGGTGCCCGGATTTTCCCTGGGACTCAGATGTAGGAATCGAGCCAGAGGCGCCAAGCCCTGGCATCAGGAAGGATGGCGGACACCTTGGTGGCCTGTCGCTTGGTGGGACCGGGCACTGACATTGAAAGAAAACGTGCCAGGAAGTGCACTGACTGTTGCCTCTTGACATCGAGGAACCCACAGCTTAGTGGGGCCAGAGAGAAGCTTGGGAACAAACAGCGTTGGGGGGGCGCTGCTGACAGCTTGCGAGGACCCTCAGGAGCCCCGGAAGGAAGGGTGCTTGGCCCAGCCGGGCACCCCCGGGCGAGTGAGCACCTTCCAGAGGGACAGGCAGTGCAAGATCAGGGCCGCGGAGCCGCAGCGCCTCGCACACAGGGACCGGAGGGGTGGCGGAGGTGGGGGAGGCCAGGCGGGGCTGTAGGGCAAGAGCGAGGCGTCAGAGCCGCCTGGCCCCAGGTCCGGCTGCTGAGTGGCCACGGCTAGGCTGTGAGGTCACGAGCTGGAGGGAAAGGTCCAGCCGCAATTGTAGCCATAGCACGTGACTGCAAGGGACAGGGGCGCAGTGTCGGGAAGTGAGAGGAGAGCCCGGAGAGGGCATCGCCCATTGGGCCCGGGGGGAGGGGCTAGTGGCAGACAGGGAAACAAAGGAGTTTGGGCGAATTTCAGAGAGGAAGTTAAGTGCTGCTTCCCAGATGCTGCCTCATCCGCAGAGGGAGGAACAGTACAGAGCAGGGTGGGACCCTTTGGGGTGGGAGGAGGCTGGAGGGAGCTTGGGGGTTGAGGCAGTAGAGCTCTTCCTTCAGGTCTAGGAGCCACCCCTCCAGGTGCTCCCTGGGGCTGGGCCGGACCGCGGAGGCCAGTGGCTGGTCGGGGGAAGGAGCCGGCGAGCTAGGGCACGCGCCCTGTGGAGAGAGCAGGTGCCCGTTCCTAGTGTCAGCCAGTGCACGGTGTGGGCCCCGCCGTGCCATCTTTTCAAGAGGCCACTAGTTCGTGTTTTCAAAACCATGCATGCTGTGAACGAATTACATCTCTATAAAAGTTTTGCATTCATATGATGTTTTTAAAGTATACATATTCTGAAACAAAACAAAACAAACAAATTCACCACGCATGCTAAGCAGAGCGCGTCAGGCGGACCAGACCTGGCGTTTGGATGGCCTGTGCGGGGCCTCCGCATCAGCCGGCAGGAGGCAGGGTGAGGGCTGAGGGCGGTTGCAGGCCCACGGGCCTGTGTGCTGACGGTCCCGGGGGAGAGGGTGCCATTCCCTCCCGGAGCCGGAGGGCGGGAGCGCACGGGTCAGGGTGGATGGCAGAGGCACTGCTGGGAGGGCGCTCGGAAAGGACATCAGGGGCTGGGGACTGACGAAGGGGCCGGGGAGGGTCGATCGCATGAATTCGTGGTGTGACCTGACCCGGAAACTCTCCGGTGGGTGACAGTTGCTCCCATTCTGGGTCTTGGTGGAGCCAACATGCAAGGACTGAAGGGGCCTGAGGTGCCCTGGAGCAGGGTGCCCAGGGGCCCAGGACCTGATTCGGAGCAGTTGGCCTGCCGAGAGCCAGGACAGTCCAGAAACACCGAGGCTTACCTCCTGGTCTCAGGGAACTGCCCATCAGAGAGCGCAGCTTGCCCAGGAGGCAGGTCAGGGCCGGAGGGCCGTGACTGAGTGTGGCTGGGGGACCAGACCTTAGACTGGGCTCCCCTCTGAACTCCAAGAGTCACAGAGCCAGAGGGCAAGTTCCGGGCGCCCTGGAGAGAGAATTCTAGAGCTGGTGGCTGTGGAGGAATTGTGCGGCAGTTCTGAGCCCCAGGGGGCGGGGCCGCATGGCGGCTGGGGGCAGTGGCAGGGCTGCGGTTCCCACCACTGAGAGGACGGACGGCGGAAGCGGCTGTCCCCCAGGACCGCCGCAGGGAACTGGGCGCTGGTTAGGGGGTGGGCCAGGATCCTTTCGGGGAGGCTAACAGAAGTAACTGGAAGTGAATGGCCTGGCTCCTCAATGCACAGGTTGTCCGTGAACTTCAGGGCGCTGAATTTCTGGGCCTTGGCTGCCTACCATTGCTGTTTGGGGCGTGACCACACGCCGCGGCCGCGCGTTCCAGTGACCTGCCAACAGCTCGCGCCTGGAGACCTTGTGAGGAGAAGGCTCAGCAGCCTCCGTGGTCTTTGAAATCACAGCACGCCCGCGCACAACTGTGCTTTTCTGCTGTGAGGCAGAGACGGGGGAGGGGGTCTTAGGAAGGGCTGCTGGTCTCCCTTTTCCCACTTTGAGCTCCGACTCCTGTGCTTGTAGAGCAAGAGAGAAGGGGAAGAAGGGACTGCAGCCCCAGCAGAGGCAGCCCGCTACTGCCCTGACTTGAGGGCCTTTGTTTTCCTTCTCAGGTAGGAGAGCTGGTACCTCGGTACTTTTCTGTCCTTTTCTTTTTTTAAAGATTTTATTTATTAAGTTTTAGAGAGAGGGGAAGGGAAGGAGAAGGAGATGGAGAGAAACATCCGTGTGTAAGAGATACAGGAATTGGTTGCCTCTCGCACGCCCTCAACTGGGAACCTGGCCTGCAACCCAGGCATGAGCCCGACTGGGAATCAGCCGGCGACCTTGCGGTTCTCAGGTTGGCGCTCAGT